CTTTTATATGTATCTGTGCTGTTTAATTTTCATCTGTTCTGGTCGCTTTGGTCTTTTTTGCGTTTGGTCTTGATTATGTGACGACAATGTGATTTTCATTTTGTTGTTTGATGACACTGTTCAAATTTCTATCACAATCAGATTTTGGATGTTGCTGTGTATAAATCCAGCCTGCAAAGATCAGTGCGTCCCTGGGAGCACTGTTTCACATGATTTCTTTGATTGCTATTTATATTATTGGTGTTGCCTGAAGCAGCCTGGGTTAACTGTACTCACAGCCTTCATGTGGGTTAGCAGTTAGGTACAGTTAGCACCCTCAGTTTTTATAGTTGTCTGAGCAGTAAAGCATTGTAGGCCACTAGGGAACCTCTGATAAGATAAGAGAGATTTTTAAGCTGTTTTGAGCTTGGCTGAGGTTTATCATACATGCTTTTAAAGTTTTCTTTTTGAGTAGCATGTTTTATAGAATCACAGAATGGTTTGGGTTGGAAGGAACCTTAAAGCTCATCTAATTCCAACCCCATTGCCATGGGCAGGGACATCTTCCACTAGACCAGGTTGCTCAAGGCCCCATCCAAACTGGCCTTCTGTTTAAGGCAAAGAAGGAAGTTATGACATGTGCACGACTCTTAAGTTAGATAGAAGAAAACAGGAATATTCAGGAAAATAATGTAAAAGAGAGAATAATTAAATATGAAAGAAGCAAAATTGAAAGGCAGCAGGAACAGATGTTGGGACAAACAGCCCTAAAAAGAACAATGTTCTTCCATTCGCCATAAGTATTGTCAAAGAAGTAGTATTTAATACATATTCCTATCATGGCACTGTTACAAAAAACCTCATTTAAAAATGAATGAACTTTAACGGTACTGATTGATTAGATGTTTTTTTAAAGTTCTTTAATTGTGACTTAGAAGTGTAGGCCACTTGTATCTATTACCTTAATTAAAACACCTTACCATGCCCTTGAGAAAACCCCAAGATAGACATTGAAACTTTATGCATATTTCAAAAAGCCGTTTTGGAATGTGTTTAGCATATCACTTGATTAATGTTTCCATTAAGACTGCCAAGTGGGAAATTGTTAACTTTTTCTTCACCTGTCTTCTGCTCTTTCAATTTTTAATATTCTGTATTCAGTTCAGTGAGCACTTTTTCATGAGGGTTTAAAATTCAATTGTGTTCTTGGTGTTAAATAATTTTGAAATTGCCTATAGCAGATTCCATGTTACCGTAGAAGTACTAAATGAAGATGTAGCAGTGAATTAATTAAACTATTAATGCTTATACAGTATTTTATGAGTTAATAAATTAATATATCATTAGTAGTCAAAAATCTCAGCTTGTAATCGCTGGTTTTGTAATTAACTGCATAATGTCCAATTCCAAGTCACTCACAGTTCCCTAGAAGATTCACTGCAGTTATCCACTGAGACAATTCTGTATTATAGAATCATAGAATGGTTGGGGTTGGGAACACTGCCAAAGATGGAACATTCACCACTTCTTTGGGTGACCTGTTCCAGTGCCTCACCACCCTCACAGTAAAAAACTTCTTCCTTATATCTAACCTGAACTTGCCCTGTTTAAGTTTAAACCCATTACCCCTTGTCCTGTCTCTACAGTCCCTGGAGGTGAGTCCCTCTCTAGCATCCTTATAGGCCCCCTTCAGATACTGGGAGACTGCTATGAGGTCTCTGCACAGCCTTCTCTTCTCCAGGATAAACAGCCCCAACTTTCTCAGCCTGTATTCATACAGGAGGTGCTTCAGCCCCCAAATTGTCCTTATAGCCCTCTTCTGAACTTGTTTTAATAGCTACAGTATATTACCAACCTGAATGTTCTAAGGAAGGAAAACATTTTCTAATTTATTGATAAGCTTGTGTGATTCCTATGAGAGTATGACTCAAAGATTGCAATCAGTGTCTTGAGACACCTAGTAAAAGCAGACAGTTTTGAAATGATTTCTTGATTAACAAAAACTCAGTCATGCTACATTTTCTAGTATGATAGAGCCAAATAGTGCACATTTTCAGCATCATGCTAAATAGAATGAGTAAAAAATAAATCCTTTGACAGGCACATAATCACATCTATTCATAATGGAGACCAAGTCCACTGAACTGATGTTCATTTCACTTAGGATGATACCATATTGTTTTCTTGTGTTGATGAAATAAGGCTCAAATTGGGAAGTAATGTATCAACCTGACCAATACTACATGTTTAGTGTTACACAGTGGGAAGCTCAGACAAAATACAATTGCTATATAAAGTGACAATTTAATGTATTTTTACTACATTTTTCTTTCTTTATGATTTGGTGGAAAAGTATTAAGTTTGAGAAGTTACACCCTTTTTATGCTATATACTTTTTAAAACCCTTCTTTTCAGTGCTTCTCTTTGGGACCTCCTGGTGTATTATTTTCCATTATTGAATACATTTCCCTGCTATACCTTTCCTGTCTGTGGGCTGCTTAAATACATAGGGCTGCTAGCAAATGACCATTGTTAGCCTCACAGTGGGCTGACAGCGAGTCATGAGATACAACATACAGAGGAGTGTTTACAACACAGGTCCCAGCTCTCAGTGGTGGGCTTCTGTACTACACTGCAAATGTAGAACTGCAGGTGAACCAAGAACAAGACACATTCCCTAAACTGTCATGTGAAGCTTGACACCCTGTATGGGTGTCCTAAAATCATAGTATCTCAGATTAGTGACTGCACAGCATTCAGGGCTCGAATGATACAAATACTGTATATTCCAGTTTTGGCTTGAAACCTTTTATTGCCTGGATCTGACACATGTTCTTATAGTTTTGCTGCTTTGCATCCTGTATGCATTTTGCTGGTTTATGTATAATTCTTTTCATGTGACATACATGCTTTCTTATGGACACTATTCATCCTGTGTTGTTTTGCATTTCAGGGAAATACTTTGCTTATACTTAAGTACTTTGTATTTACTGTACTTTGTTTGTATTTACTGTCTTCTGGTGTTTGCTATTATGAGTTCTGGGTTTTGTATATATATGTATAGCATCAAGTATTCCATGGTAGTAATTACACAGTAGCATTACAGGTCTTCTAGTGGTACTCTTGAAATAATAATGAAAATTCTGTCTTGTAGTTTTTTGCTTTCATTTTAATTGACTACCATTCCAAACCCTCTGTTTCACAATTCCAGCTTGGCAACAGATTTTCTTTGCAATTGTGATAGTTCTTTTTCTTATGAATTACAAATCACAACTTTTGAATAGAGGTTTTTTGGGTGCTTTTGTTGGTCTTCTCATAAATATGGCGTAGTTACTGAATTTGGATACCTGTACCCTTAACCTAACTTATTTGTGAAGAGAGGAACTAAGACTCAGGTTAAAAGGAGTTGAGATGTTTTATTTTCTGCATAGCTCTGGAAAAAATAATATAAAATAATTGATTAAATCCTGCTCCAGTTGAGCTATGCAAGCTTCTAATGAAGTAGTCATGTCATATCAATTTTGTAGCACTGTTGGAAGAGAGGAAAAGCAGGCTTAAAAATTTTTGCTGCAATTACCTATCACTGCTTCAGCCTGAGCAAGTCAAAGGGATTTTTAGGCAAGATACGTACAGCACAGGTGAAATTCCTGCCTTCTCAGTATATAAACTCTTCGCTCTAGCCAAGAACTGTCTGCACAAGTGTTCAGTCCCGTCTGTTACAATTCAAAGATCAATCTGTCCTCCAAAACCTTAACTGCCCAAAGCTGTTTTCCTCAGATTTTGAGAATACAATGTGGTCCTAACAGAAAGATTGGCTGGGCATGTTTCATAAATATTTAAATACATTTCCTTTTTGGTTTTCTTCCCAGGACCTGTACTACAGGCTCTTTGTTTCTAATTTCACCTAGGCAAGATCCGTTTCTCTTGAAGCCTTTCAGGATTGCAGATATTTCCCAATCAGAAAAAAATCAAAGGTTTTTGGTTTTTATCAAAGTGGACAAAACCCCCAGTTTTGCTCTTGATATACACTGAATCTTGCTATAATATACAGTTAGATACTCCCCACTCATAAGAGGCAGCTAGCTTGAGCTTCTTGTCTGCCTATTTCAGACCAGAACCTTTCAGTTACCCCTTTGTCATCTTAGGTGTATGTTCTTACCATCTGTATTCTGGTGTAGATACTACTCATTTACCTCTTCGTGGTAGAGAACCAATTCAAAGCTGTTCTGTGGATTTGGGAAAGAGGCCCAGAGAATCTTGCAATCCTTAACATTTTTATTTACACAACAGCAAAGTTTTATTTTGTCCTGCATCCTGTGCTGCTGCTCTAGGGACATGAGGATTCCTTTGCTTTGCAACAGTGAGTCTTAGCTTTTGAGATACCTACTGAAAATACCAAGTTCAAGTGGCTATTCATCCACACAGAAAAGATGGCAGAAGTGTATTACTGTCCATAAATGCTCAGGTTCTCAAATTCTGTAGATAGGGAAATGAAACAAATTCTAGGATTAATGTAAACATTAAAATTTGTGCACGGTGAGCTTCTACTGTAAGAAAATTTTTAAATGTTCTTTAAATATTGGTGGTATATAAATGTGTTTCCTGGTTTGCAGAAAGAAAATTCTGACCTGTGCTTTAAGCACAAGAGTAACTCTTACCTGCTAATTTACATGTGGAGATATGAGATATTGCTGATATGTTGCTGGATTTAGACATTTGTCAATACATCTGAGACACCCACTTTTGGAAAGATGTCTCTCTTTTTTTTTGGTGTGATTATCAAGGAGCAAGTCATTTTTGTTTAATACTGGGTCACCTCTTACTGTGCTGTATTTTTAGATTTTGTTTTAAAAAATTTTCAATTTCTGTGTCTTGTAACGGTAGCAATGAACAGCAAATTGCTGACAAGCTTTTTTGAAGTATGAAATGTGCTTTGTTTTGGTTTTCTCTTTTCTTTCTTTTCCTGATGTTACCACGTTCTGTTCCTCAGAATGTTTTCTCTTTCTGTGATTCCTTTTCAGCTTCTGCACATAAAGTGTGATAATGATGAACATATGTTTCAAAGACCCTCTACTTTTTTCTGGTGTAACAGTGAGGATTCACCTCCTTGTTTAGATATCTCTTCCATTACACTTACTCCTAGGAGTTCTCCTGACTCTAGACTACCACCTGGATTGTTAATACCACCACCTTCAAAAAGTAGTCTTCCAAAGCCAACCAGGGAATACAGCTGGCCAAGACCTCGTGTAATCCTGCTGTGCAAAAGTTTTTTAATTTATTTCTTTTTGCTTTCCTTTGTTCTCTGTTGTGTGTTAGCTTGTATTAAAAATGTGCATTTTGTACAGTGGTTAAAGGACAGAGCAAATGTGTCTTAGATTCTTGAGCAAAACTCTTAAAATGAGGAATTTCTGAAAATCTATTTCTACATAGCTTTTTTTCTCTCATCTGCAAAACATAAATTCTTATTTTCCCAACATGTTTAAATTAGTACATTAATTACCAGTTATCTGTCAATCTTTCATTAAAATTATTTTTATTAAGAATAGTTATTAAAATATAACAAAACTAAAAATCCAACTTCAAGGACTTCCTTGTTCCCCCAATGAATTAATATGAAAGTAAACAGCCATTATATAGGTTTTAGCATACATTATAAAAACTCTGTGCAAAATTAAGGTTGAAAATTATTCTTATACAAAATGGGCATATTCCTTTTTCATATCAGTATGCTTATACTCTCAACTTTTTTTCCATTTGCAAGTAACATGTGGCTGTATTTGAGAAACATCCTGGCTTTCTGCATGTGTTCACTAAATAAAAGTGCTTCTTATATATATTCAAAATCTGCATTTCTTAAAATAACTAAATTATAGCTTTACTTACGCTAGCTGTAGCAGTAGTACAGACACGGCCAGTAACTCAGCAGAATGGCATATAGCCAGGAAATGAAAGTGTAAAGTTTGGGTTTGCCTTTTTTTTTTTTTTTCTAAAAGACTAAAGACTAAGTATAAATACTGCTTATTTATCTAGCTTCTAGATAAATTCGTTTAATAAACACTTAGCAAATAAGGAGAATCTATGTTAGCATTTACTCTCTGTGAGATTCTAGGATTATCCATCAATGTTGCCCAGGGGGGTTGTGGAGTCTCCTACATTGGAGATATTCAAGGCCCGCCTGGACAAGTTCCTGTGTGATGTACTCTAGGTTACCCTGCACTTGCAGGGGGGTTGGACTAGATGATCTTCTGACATCCCTTCCAACCGTTGGGATTCTGTGATTCTGTGAAATGTAGGTTAATATATGGCATGTAGTTATGCATTAAACCTGATGCCACTTTCCTGGTGTAGACAAAAGCCTGTCTAGAATCAGAGAGAGTTTTGTTTGTATGAAGCAAGGAATGTGAGATTCATTATATGTGTCCTTTGGGTCAAGCACATCCATTGCCCTATTTTGAGTGGGAGCAGATGACATCCAGTGATTGCCTTGACCTGAATTATACTGGTTCTTCGATGGTGCACAGAGGTGCCAGGAGGTTAATGCAAGGTCCATGGCCATAGCAGTAAGAGCCTGTTGTGTCTAAATACTATGCACACAAATCTTTTCACAATATATGATCTTTGAAATTGCAACGATAACTCATGTGGAGCACAGTAGGAGTTATGTATATGTAAAAATCTTTGAAATTAGTTATTTTATGAAGCTAATGCAGCTGTGATCTTGCCAGGGAATAACATGACTGAGAGAATATATTTTTAAATAGGAAAAAAAAGGCAATATGTTAAATGTGATTTTTTTTTTCCTTCTTGGTATAGCTAGGTAGAAATGCCCCAGTTTTTTTTTAGATACTGAGCAGTTCTAGATCTCCTGTAATGCAAATTTAAAATATGAATTCAAAATCCCTTAGAAACAGGAAATGTAGGACTTGCGAGTCTATTTTTCTCATTAAGCAGTGTATTCAGAGGAAGACTGTGGTTCGATATCCTTTCCTTCTCAGCAACTACTGCAGCCTTGAGAGAGAAATAGAGGTACTTAGGCCTATCTCTACACTTGGATTAGAAATCTGTGCTGTGTGCTGTGAGAGGGCAGCTTCAGTTGTTGCAGGAGAGGCATTCTAAAATAAGATTTAGGTCCATGGAACTCTATCTCATGGGTCAGCAGTACTAAAGACTGTATGTTTTCCAGATTGTTGTATCCATGTATTCTGAATAAGGATCCATGTGACTAATTTAACTTCTTAATAATTTTCATGTGAATATTTTGGTCAAATTTAATCTTACTTAAAAGAAGTAGTCTTCCTGATACACAGAACGTAGGGGGTTTTGTGTTATGGAAGTAATAACATTAATATGCAAACTAGTTTTGAACATATATTTTGCTTTCAGCTTGCAAATCTCAAGACTATTTCATTGTCTTGTCTTTAGTGTTCAGTTTATTCTGACTTAACTGTGATTTGTTTGTGTCTTAAAGTAATAGACTGATGTAGGAGGAATGAATCATTAAAAAATAAATATGGCTGTAGAACCATAGTTACTATTGGGTTTGGCATTTCCTTGCTTTTATTGAACCCTTCCAAATTCTTGGGCCTTCCTAATGAAATCTCTTCTGTTTCACATTCAAAAATGAGAGTTTTACTCTATTGTATTCAGTGTATTGGATGTCCATATTGTTAACTAATGAAAAAATACATTGAAGCTTTAATCACAACAGGTTTTTAGGTTGCCAAGTAAGTTATGATGTAGGGAAGAATTAATGAACAAGAAGTGTTTGGATTGTATCTTTTAATTTTAACTACTTGTCTGGAGCATAGCATATTCTTGTTACAGTGTTAACCTTAAATGGGTCTTGTGAAGATATCTGTATTCATATATCTGCAATAGAGACCTGCTTGTCACCAGCTTTTTCAGGTTTAACTGTGTTACATTTCTGGCTGTACCAGACGGACTGAAAAAGGAAAAATTACAATGCTGCTTGCGTATTGAAGAGTTTTAGCATGTCTCAGACTCTGATCTGCAAATGCCATTTGCTTGGTGTCAGGGGCTGTTTTTTGCATGCTGGTGGTTATTTTTAACATTTTTTTTGAAACTCTGGCGCTTATCTGCAAGCTAAACAGTTCAGTATTGTGATATTTTTCATGTGAATTACTGCCCTAATATTTATTGTCCTTATTGTAGGCAGGCAGTGTGACACCTAAATCACCCTCCACTGACATCTTTGATATGGTTCCCTTTTCTCCCATATCCCCTCAGTCATCAACACCTACTCGCAATGGTACACAGCCTCCTCCAGTACCCAGTAGATCTACAGAGATCAGTAAGTTTTGTAACATCTGACCTAATTTTTGCTTACATTATATTTTTAGTAAAGCATCTTTAAAAATTTGCGTACATTTTGCATGAAAAGACAGATACAGTTTTTGTAAATCACGTTCAGTAATGCCATTTTGTTTTATACCATCTTCCCAGAGTCATCAGTGCTGCTGCCAAGTTACAAATTTATTTACTTGCTGAACTATTATATATACAGATTGAAGGAGTTTGGTTGGGGGTTTTAACTTGGCTTTTCTTTTACAATATCTTTTTTGTACTTACTTCAAGAAATACTTTTACTTCCTCTTAGTTTTTTCCTTGTCAAGCCACAGTTGTAGCATCTAACACCTACAATTCTGGGGAAGACAGAAGGTGGAGTAAGTATGGCGATGATGGTGCAGAAGGAGGAGTTGAAGAAATCCCTCAAGATGCAGACTGTCTTGGAATGCTATTTTTAAAACTGCTTTTCATACCATCTACAGCTTTGTTTTTCAGTTATAGTTGATGAGCCTTTCCAGATCTATGTACCACTCCTAAAAGGTCTTGAAAAGATGATTAGTAATAGCAATTTTATTTTCCAAAGGCTCGAAAACAGCTAGGGTAAGGTTCTTGGCTTCACTGGAAATCTTTTAGGAGTCCACACTATATTTTTAAAAGCTTTGGAAATCTGTTGGGGGAGGGGGGCGTGGATCATACAAAAGCAATGTTAGAGGCAGTAGAAGTATCAGTCTGTGTGTAGTATCTTGTATTTCTGATTCATGTTTTAGTGTGGGTAAGGAACATTAGTGTTACTGCCTGACACCATATAAAACCACATTTCGAGAGTTTCTACATTTTTTAGGGAATGATTCTGGTATGTAGAATTTTCAGGTATGAATGAAAGCTGTGTACAATTATAAATGCCTTGTAAAACTTAACTCAGTGAATGTCTTCCCCAGTACCATATCCTACATATTTTTTTGTTCCATTGCTCAGAATGGCTGTCACCATTTAAAAAAAAAGTAGATGTCAAGGCTGTTGATTCAGTAAAAACATATAGATATATAGTATTAGATTAATTTATATTAATTTCTATGGGTCTCTCAAAGGGTGTATTAACATAATTTAAAACCATTAAGAATAGTTAATATTAACTGTTCTTAAATAACTTAGAAGAACATTAAATTAGAACTGTTAAGAGAAATTTCATGGCTTTGTACAGAAAAGAAAATATTCAAAGACACCACCTCGAAGAACTCCTTTTGAGTTTTGGAATTTGTTTTTTGGAAACTACAGACAATGCCATAAAATTAATCTCAGTTGTTCATATACAGCTTTGAAAATAATTTCAAATGAACTACATGACAAGGGTTTTGGTTTTGGTTTTGGTTTTTTGGTGGGGTTGGGTTGTTTTTTTTTGGGTGCTTTTAATTTAGGATTGGGGGGGGGGATGTTTTCTTTTTCTTTTCATTTTGGTTTAGTTTGGGTTTTGTTTTGGTTTTGTTTGGGGGTTTGGGGTGGTTTTTTTTAAGCTTTGTCCTGGCTCAGTTCCATTGAAATTGTGGCTAGAAATCGTGTGGGAGCCAGCGTTCAATGCTGAGGAGTCTTGAGAATTCCAGCTATATAGGTTTGTGATTATTTTGTCAGTGGGATTTGTAATATAGAAATTGCTATAAATATATTGCTCATTTAGTGGTGACTGCTGCTTAAAATAGTTGCTTCTTCTGTAATTCATTCATTTGCATTAAATTCAGATAATGTAGTTCAGAGATCTTGCAGGTAGTATCTGTGAATTCTCTGCTCCTCAGTGTGCTGTGCTTCAGAGAGAGGTTACAGAAGGACATCATAGTCTTTATACTTTTGATTCCTGCTCTTTTAGTCTGTCATGGTACTTTATACATTGAAAATGGTTGCATTCATCAGCTATGAACACACTTCGGCATATTTCAGATGTGACATATTTCAGATGTGACATATATTACAGAAGAGGAATACTTTATAATCAAACAAAGACTTACTGTCTTTGATGAGAAAGTTCAAATCCTGTAAGAACCTCATTCAAGCTACGCAATGTTACAGTGCTGTAATAATCTAAAATAGTACATTGTTTTGTATGGTGTTACTGCTGTCAGGGCAAGCAAGCTGGCATTTCTTTCTCCAGTGTAAGTCAGATAGGTGGCACCCTAGAGGAAGCGATGTTTGGAGTCTCCCATTTTCTGAGGTCATCTTTTATGTTCTTTATCTCTGTCACTTAGCTGCTGCTTCCTCGTGGAGTAAGGGATTGCAAATGTTCTTGCAAGTTATCTTAAAGGACAGAAATAGTTTATTAAATTTAACTAATTAAAGGAGGAACTACTTTATGTGTTTCTTGTAGACACAGCGTTATTGTATCTCAGAAAGGAACCGGAGAATACATTATTCAATTGTTCAACATTTATACCACTCAAACACATCTTGAACAATCCAAGGTCACTACTGGCAGATGTAGAAATATGCTCCCAGATGCTATCTTTCCAGAGACATTTAAGAGTATGTTGTCAAAATAATGTTGGAACCATTTTTTATCCTGTAGTAACTCCAAAATAAACAAATACAGAATAGCCTTCAACTAGGGGAAAGGCTTCCTGGACTTTACTACCTCAGCTTACTCCAAATACTTTCATGGGTGCTTGTCTTCAGCGTGATTAATTTTTATTTGTCATCACAGCTGATCCAGGACTGGGGAAAGTATATATAAGCATAACTGTGCCTGGATGATAGCTAAGGTAAAGAAGATTGAGATGCACAATGCCAAATATTTGTAGTTTTGTTTAGGAATTGTTAGTTTTTGGTTCATTACTCCAGTATTACGTCTTTCTTGTCCTGAATATCACAGAAACAAGAATGTATTACCTGTTAATGGCTTTGTGATTTAAGTTGTGAATGTAAAACAAGCATTTCATGTCTTTTGAATTTGTTGGTTCATTTTCCACACTGTAAATTTATTTCCATTTACAAAGGAATGGGAAAAGGAAAGGCAATATATGCTGTTTGAAAGGATCATTTTCAGGGCTTTACTGGTTGCTGTGTATTGGAGAAAGAAATGCCTATATCTGCTACAGTTATTTTGGGGAGTATGCTAGGCAAGATATTCTTTTTATAGTTAATCTTCTTGCCTGAAATAAAAAATCAGTAATTTATCCCACCTCTGCTGAAAAGGAGCCCCTCAGAAATGGTGGAGTGAACAGTAGCAGATAAGCTTATGGAGATCCCATGCAGTAGTGCAGCTCGTCAGTGACTAATTTTAGTATTCATCCAGTTTCCATATGTTCTTCAGCTTCTAGTCAAAAGAGAAATACGATGATGCTATTGAAAATATTTCATGGAACTTCCTCTCTCCCTGACTCTTAGCAATGCACTCTCATATAGCATACAAATTTGAAACGCAGTTCTACTACGGAGTTTTTCAGCTGGTTTACTGAAATGGGTAGCAACTTATAATAGAGATAGCTCCCCAAATAATAATTTTTCATAGAAACCCAGCTACGAAATATTCACTGTTTTGAATTTGATTCTGTACAGGGTTTTTTAGGTTCTGTCACTTACAATAAATTATACACCGGTTAGTCAGCTTTGAATAACAATATAAATGAAGTTATCCTTCACCTGAAGGCAGGAAACATTAACAGAGCTAAAGCTTTTGCCATTCTCCTGCTGATGAGCTCAGAAGTGCTGTCATTAATAAAAGCCTTATAATAAGGCATGACTGATATAATATCCATAGTAGTGTACAAAATACTTGCTTTCAAACTAGCGATGTCATATTTCAGTGCTAAGAAATGCAAGAGTTGTGTTCTTTAAAGGGTTTCTTTTTCCTAAATACATTCCTTGAATATTTGCTATGGCTTGGTGCTGAAACTGGCTGCTTTTAGCTGTCTGACCACACAGAAAACTGTTAGCTCCTTATAAGGGTAAAAAGAACCTGGGGTGGGGGGGAGAGGGGAAGAGAAGAAGAAAACAAACCTATACAGTGAACAAATATGCTTACAAGTAGCATAAACCATAATCACTTTTTGCCCAGTAGATCCTAGAATGAAAGTCAAAGCTGCTGCACATCTGAAGGTTACTTCATAGGAGCATCGGAGCATGTAAGGACAGTGGTTGTACTGAAGCAGACCCATTTTGGCTCTGAAAGAGGCAATGGACAAGATAGATCCTAATTTTTACATTAGATTGCCCTAGTTAAAGTCTAATTTGTATGCAGGTGGTCTGCCTCTGCCAGGAAAAACTAGATTTTTCTTTTTTTGAGTAAGATAGGCTTTTGGAATTAAGCTCTCAGATCTGGGCCATCGCCTAGTCCCATGTGGCAGTTCAAAACTGTTTAGCCACAGTTTTTGAAATATGTAATTAATCAAGTTCCTTTTTGTTTCTGTACTTTATTATGGGAGTAAATGCTGGAAGCTGCTAATAATTTAAAATGCTTATTGTGCAGCCTGATAACACCTAATAAATCAGGTCAAAACCCATGAGAAGACTGACATGCGCAGTAATTGTTGAAGATCTTGGACAACCTACACATCTAAAATTCTGACAACAGGGATGCCAAAGTAAAAACTGTTTAGCTATATGCACATGATTCAGTATTTATAACGTGACTGGTAACACTGCAACATGGATTTTGTGTCAAGTAGTCAGTTGTCAGCTTTTGTATCTTGGATGTAACGGATAAAATTTTGTTCTAAATCTAAATTCTAAATCTAAAATTAGCTAGTAATTTCAAAGTTACTAATAGCCCCTTTTATTCTCATGTTCTTAAGCTAGAATTGTTTTAAGGTAGGTAGTATGCTTACCAGGTTTCTTGCTGGACAATCTTAAAAGTTAGGAGATGGATAGGATATGTTTTTAATTTTATTTCTACTAATGAAAAGACTATTAATTTGGTTCTGTAAGTTGCAATCAGTGTGGTTGAGTAGGGTTAGCAAAATAATTTTCTTACTGCTTTAGTTCAACCCATTGTGGGATAGAAAAACTCTGTATAGATGGAACATTACATGTAGAGGGAAAAAAATTCCCATTACCAAGAAGGAATTAAAAATATTTGGACTATCAGATTTGAAGAACTGTCCTAGGAAAAAAAAAAAAAAAAAAAAGTATTGGAGGTGTTCTTCTTGTCCAGACAAAACCAAAACAAAAATCCCCTGACTGCTACAAAGCATACTACAGTTAAGAAAAATGCGAAACGGTATGGTATTGAAAGAGAGAAATTTTCAGTCATTCTATTGTGGATCCAGATTTAGTGGAGTTTTAGGGTAAGTGACTTTTCATGGTCCTGTGTTTTTTTCATTCAGTTTTTACTTTATCTTATCCAACATTTTAAAATCCTAACAAATAGTGTTAGTTAATATCAGCTGTGCACTGAGGAACTCTATCAAATGAAGGCCTTCCCTTCCATGATGAAGAGTAAATGTTGTCCTTATGAAGATGTCCTTAACCTTGATGGGAAGTGGCAGACAGGGGACATGAAGGCTAGTTTGTTTGCAAGAGTATTTTTCTGACATAATGTTAGGGTGAAATTTGACAACCAATGTCTGGTTCCCTTCCCGTTTCTGAAACTCCTCATACACGCCAAATCCAGAGCACATTTAAGTTGGAGATACCCTCTTCAAATTGCAACTTATCAGATCCCTAGAATTCCTTTAAGAGGCAGAAGTGTTAATGAAATCAAAGTGAGCCTTAAACAGAGGTTGATGGTGTTCTTGGAAAAATTTGAACATTAAACTTAGGAAAACTAATCAAGACCTGGCTTTAAATTTGGATTTGTGGTTAATCAGTTGTAGATCTGGAGGTGCTATTGTTCAGCCTTTAAGGAGACCTAAGATGGCTTTTTCAAAGAGTTATTTTCATAGCCCTTACCTTTTCTCTCAGTGACTCACTTTTCTCTTATTCCAGAGAGAGACCTTTTTGGAGCAGAACCTTTTGACCCTTTTAGCTGTGGAGCAGGAGATTTCCCTCCAGACATTCAGTCCAGACTAGATGAGATGCAGGTAACTACTGAGGTATCAATTATGCAGTTTTCTGTGGCTGTATGACTCTTCTTGAAATACATGTTTACAGTATTCTGAAAATGTATTCTAGACTACACACAAATACATACAGAAAAAAATGGTTTTGACTGTTTTTGTAAGTGTGCCTCATGGTCTTTGAGTTGGAGTTTGAATTTGCCTGAAGATCCTTACTTGGTATTAATATGGACACCTGCACTAATTTAGGGGTTCACAGCAGTGTAATCAAATTGTATACTGCTCTTCCTATCTGGGAAGGTTCTGAGGGAACTGAAAAAGAGAGATGGGCAAGAGCCCTACAGATCCTCTGATCTTGTTACTCTTCAGTTCTAACAATCACCATCATCCCAATTTACCCTCATCTTTCTATCAGTGACATCAGTCTGGTTTTTCATAGCATTGGCACAGGCAAAGTATGTGCTTCAGATGCCTTTAAAACAAGCGGTATTTGACTGTGGCACTCTGGAGCACTTAAACTGTTGTGAACTGATTCAAGAATTCTGAGTGGAAGCATTTGTCAGAAAATGTTTGCTGATTCTAAAACACTCAATTGTATCTGTTCAGTTGCTGATCCAATTTTGAAGCAGTTCTAGGAGAAAGCCACCAAGTTTTGGAATAACTCACTGTCTTCAGTCAGACTTTCCAAAGTGCTAGTTCCTTGCCAGCTTGCTTATCTGTGTGTTTTTCAGCAGCCTGCCAGCAAAACAAACACCTGAAAACACTGGAAACTTGAATTTCTAGGATCCTGGCTTCTCAGCAGAAAGTGTTCCCAGGGCTTCTAGCCCTCTTTTCTCTCAAGATCCCACAGGGTCCAAGAGAGCTAGCTCTCCGTCTCCTTCTGTTCCTTTTTTTTTCTGCCTGGAGAGCAGCAGAAACATTTCAAAATGGCTGAAATAAAATTTAAACACCATTTAGTTTTCCTGAGTATAATCTTTTCATTTCTATTCACTATGAAATTTCCTTTTCCATGTCAGTTTAGGGTGTTGCCCCTGGCAAACTCCACTCACAGTGAAGTAAGAAACTGAGGTTGTTGGTCACCTGTACTCTGAGACATATAATCACAGTATCACAGTATCACAGTAGGTTAGAGATTGGAAGGGACCTCAAATGATCATCTAGTCCAATCCCCCTGCCGGAGCAGGAACACCTAGATAAGGTTACACAGGAACGTGTCCAGGCGGGTTTTGAATGTCTCCAAAGAAGGAGACTCCACAACCTCCCTGGGCAGCCTGTTCCAGTGTTCCGTCACCCTCACTGAGAAGAAGTTTCTTCTCAGGTTTAAGTGGAAACTCTTGTGCTCCAATTTGTACCCATTACCCCTTGTCCTTTCATTGTTTGCCACTGAGAAGATCCTGGCTCCATCCTCGTGACACTCCCCCTTTATATATTTATATACACTAATAAGGTCACCCCTCAATCTCCTCTTCTCCAAACTATAGAGACCCAGCTCCCTCAGTCTTTCCTCATAAGGGAGATGCTCCACTCCCTTAATCATCTTAGTTGCCCTGCGCTGGACTCTCTCCAGCAGGTCCCTGTCCTTTTTAAACTGAGGGGCCCAGAACTGGACACAATATTCCAGATGAGGTCTCACCAGGGCAGAGTAGAGGGGAAGGAGGACCTCCTTGACCTACTAACCACCCCCCTTCTAATACAACCCAGGATGCCATTGGCCTTCTTGGCCACAAGGGCACAGTGTCGGCTCATGGTCACCCTGTCGTCCACCAGGACCCCCAGGTCCCTCTCCCCTACACTGCTCTCTAACAGGTCGTTCCCCAGCCTATACTGGAACATGGGGTTGTTCCTGCCCAGATGCAGGACTCTACACTTTCCCTTGTTATATTTCATCAAGTTATTCCCCGCCCAGCTCTCCAGCCTGTCCAGGTCCCTCTGGATGGCAGCACAGCCTTCTGGCGTGTCGGCCACTCCTCCCAGCTTAGTGTCATCAGCAAACTTGCTGATAGTACACTCAATTCCCTCATCTAAATCATTGATGAATATATTAAATAATATTGGTCCCAGTACCGACCCTTGAGGCACTCCACTAGATACAGGCCTCCAACTAGACTCTGCCCCATAGACTACAACTCTCTGGCTTCTCTCCTTCAGCCAGTTCACAGTCCACCTCACTACCCGATCATCCAGACCACACTTCCTCAATTTAGCCGCAAGGATGCTGTGGGAGACCGTGTCAAACGCTTTGCTGAAGTCGAGGTAGACCACATCCACCGCTCTACCATCATCCATCCACCGTGTTATTTCCTCATAAAAGGCTACAAGATTGGTCAAGCACGACTTCCCCTTGGTGAAGCCATGTTGACTGCCTCTCATAACCCTCTTATCCTTGATATGCCTTAAGATGGCACCAAGGATAAGGTGTTCCATCACTTTCCCAGGAACGGAGGTGAGGCTAACCGGTCTATAGTTACCCGGGTCCTCCTTCTTGCCCTTTTTGAAGACAGGAGTGACATTTGCTTTCCTCCAGTCCTCAGGCACCTCTCCCGTTTCCCAAGACTTGGTAAAGATGATGGAGAGCGGTCTAACAATGACCTCAGCCACTTCCCTCAGCACCCGCGGGTGCATCCCATCTGGACCCATGGATTTATGGATATCCAGATTGCTCAACTGGTCTTTAACCCATTCCTCATCAACTAAGGCAGACCGCTCCGTTGACCTATCTTCATCCGGGGTCTCAGCGGTACAGGGCTCTTCAGGACTGCCTCCAGCAGAGTAGACAGAGACAAATAAGTCATTCAGTAACTCTGCCATCTCTGTATCTTCTGTCACCAGGGCACCCGTCCCGTTCATCAGCGGGCCTACATTGCCTCTGGTGTTAGTTTTACCTGCCATGTATTTGAAAAAGCTCTTTCTGCTGTCCTTGACCCCTCTCGCCAGCTTTAATTCCAAGGAGGCCTTAGCCATCCTAGCAGCTTTCCTACATCCTCTAGCAGCAGCCTTATATTCTTCCCAAGTGGCCAGCCCTTCTTTCCATGACCTGTAAACTCTCCTCTTCCACTTGAGCATACCGAGCAATTCCCTATTTAACCACGCAGGTCTCCTGACCCTCTTCCTCGACTTCCTACGTGTCGGGATGCTCTGATCTTGAGCTCGGAAAAAGCAGTCCTTGAACGTCAACCAACTATCTTGGGCCCCTTTCCCTTCAAGCAGCCTAGCCCACTGGATTTCCCCTAGCAATTGCTTGAAGAGGCCAAAGTTTGCCCTGCTAAAGTCCAGGGTTGCGATTCTACTTGCTATTCTACTGACCCTACCACACAAGATCCTGAATTCTACCATCTCGTGGTCGCTGCAACCAAGGCAGCCCTCAACCTTCACTCCTTCAACCAGACCCTCCTTGTTAGTGAGGATGAGATCCAGCAGCGCACCTCTCCTGGTTGGCTTATCCACCATTTGCATGAGGAAGTTATCATCCATACACTGGAGGAACCTCCTGGACTGCGGCTGGGTTGCCGAGTAGTCCTTCCAGCAAACATCAGGGAAGTTAAAATCCCCCACGACGACCACGGCCTGTGACCGTGAGGCCGCTCTCAGCTGCCTGTAGAAGGCCTCGTCAACTTCCTCACCCTGATCCGGTGGCCTGTAACAGACCCCCACAACAGTATTGCCCCTGCCAGCCTGCCCCTTAATTCTCACCCACAGACTCTCGACTCGCTCATCATCTGTCCCCGGACAGAACTCAACGCATTGTAGCTGCTCTCGCACATAAAGAGCAACCCCACCACCCCGCCTGGCTGGCCTGTCTTTCCTGAAAAGGACATAGCCCTCCATGACTATATTCCAGTCATGTGAGCTGTCCCACCACGTCTCTGTAATTGCCACCAGATCATAATCTCCTGACTTAACACAGGTTTCTAGCTCCTCCTGCTTATTTCCCATGCTGCGCGCATTGGCGTACAGACATTTCAGGGAGCGAGCCGAGCACACCGATTTCACCCTAGGATTACAGGAGGCCTCCCAGTCTTCATCAATTCCAGAGCGCTGTCCCAAATAATTTCAGATAACAGATAAAAGCGAAAACTGGCTTCTTTACAATTCCAGTAAAAATGCTTGGGTTTTGTAAATGAAATAATGTTTTTGCCAAGCCCTTTAGCACAAAAAGCAAATCTTCTAGCACCTCACACTGATATACATCAATGTTTCTATTGTCTATAGCCGACTTTAGGAAAAAGTATACTGTAGCATCTCTGGCTACTAGGAAGAATCCTATGAAAATACCCAAATGTCACACACTAAGAGTTCTTATTACAGGTAATGTTAGTTTGATTGTTAGCATATAAGCCTGCAAAGTGCTATCACCTCATAAAACATCAGTGAATGGAACAGTAGAAATCCTTATCAAAATTTTTGAAGTCATAAAATGAGAAACTCGCATCATTGTTTGTACTCTCTTGACCAAAAAAACAGACAAACAATAACAAAAACTCCAAACCTGATGCCACTATTACGCCCCATTGCAAAGAATATTGCCTTGGTCCTGCATTCCCCTCTGCACATACACGTTTTGGTTTTCCAGCTTTTTTTTGTATGCTTTATCTCGCAATTGGAGCTTCTAGTCTATCAGTCTTAGCATACCCTGACACTTCCACTGAAAATTAACTAGTGGGTCTATATGTAGAAACAAAACTTATTCATATATAATCCAGTTGAGAACAAGGATAAAGTTAACAAAGTATGAAAACAAAATTCTAACAATTCTAACTTTGACCAAAAAAGTTATGTACAGTATTATGCTAGTGGTAAATGCAGATTGAAACATGTTTTTACTAATATCTCTTTTATCTTCTTGTGCTTTCCTGGGTGCCTAGCGTCATCGATGGTTGGTATATCATATTTTGATAATGGTATTTAAAGCATTTACAATTGAAATGTGCATGTGTTCATGTCTGGTGTCTATTTTTATGAATATGTATGTACATATGCAAAAACTTTCATGTAACTTTTAAAACTTTTAGTGGCCTACAATTTTTTAAGGTAGGAAAGCTGATTCTTTTTCTTATCAGCTGCTAATACTAAGCCTTCATTTTCATTGCTGTTTATTTTCCATGTGTACTAGTGAAGCCTCCAGTTTTCGTTATCAGATTGTCCTTAGTGAAATGGTTTAAGCAAAACCTTTGATACATATATTTTTGTGTTAATACAGTCACATTTGTGATTATTTGGAAATAATTACTTAAAAGCTTGAAATGAGCAGAAGATAGCTGTACTAGAAGTCAGTGGTTGTTAGATATACAGCTGATAAGAAGAAAGGTGAAATGGATGCTGCAAAAGGTAAAAGCACAGAATATGCAATGTGCTCTGGAAAATGTAAAGAAACGTAAGAAAAATACAGGCTTCTTTCCTTCTCTGGAATGCAAACTGAAGGAATCTGTTCACATTATGAAAGTACAGTCTGACTTTCAGTAAATACATATTCCATTAAATATACAAAGGTAAGTTGCTTATGAACACATCTAATAGCTCAAAATATAAACTCACTCTGAGACGGTGTTAAATACAGCTTATCCTGCAGTGAGTGGTAAGCAAGCTGTCTCGGCAGCAGCCAGTGACAAACTGATTGGAGCAGCTCGGTCCAGACTCTCTTACCCTGTTTCTCCTGTAAAGTTATGTCAGATGCCTTGTCAAACATATGCCTGTCTGCAGTAAAGCTGTCTCACTGTATGTGTGCGTTGGAAGGTGATGTGTAAGCAAAGTGGGAGGGGAAAGTGCAGCACAGAAGAAGCTTTGGAGGATAAGCCCTTTAAGTAGTGGGTGCTTTCCTCTGCATCCAATATTCTGAATTTAAAAAGATCAGATAAATTTTCCTGACCTCTGGGAGAACACTTTTATATTTAAACTTCAGTGAGAGTCCAGATTTCACACTCAAGCTCTTTCTACTCCATTTCTCAGTCTAGTCTCTTGTTGATATTTTTGGAGAGCTCAAAACTCAAACATATACTGAGATGTGACTTTTACAGCTCAGGCCTCTCTCTGATGACTATTCAACCTTCCATTTCCCCCACCTTTATGCTGAAACATATTTTAATTTCACTATTTTTACTGCATTCAGACATTAATAAATGTAATCTGTCTGTTTTCTCAGAAACCTTGCAGTTGAGGGGAAGTTTCCCTGGATCATTACTCATACCAGGAACAGCTGCTATAATTTATTAAAATCTCAAGGTAGTTAATATCATAAAGCTTCCAGGAGCTGCAGGCCATTCTCCCTGCATGCCCTGAAGCAGTCAGTAGGATTGATGTCTTTCTATCTGAAATAAGTTACCCTCAGCCTTTTAAATTATCTTCTCAGAGATGTGTAAATTTATCATTGGTTCATAGGCTTTCCACTGACTTAAGCTCATGAGGTGAAGTTACTGTGAAGTGACGAGTCAACCTCAAAGCAGTAAGGCTTTGGCAAATTTATCTTCTGGGGAAAAAAGAGTTCTTTGTCTTTTACTGTTTACTGTTTTTAACCGGAATAGCTCATATCTTATTATCAGAGAAACTAAAAAAGTGGGTGTTTTGGAAGAGGCTTTGTTTTCAGGTTGCTTTCACTCGTGAAAACAAGCTTTGCTACTCTCTTCAAGAGACCAATCATATCCTTTAGTACAATACCATTATTTATCTGGGTAACTAAGATGTTCAGTCCTTGTATTAAATCACCCTGAAAGTAAAAAGTTACTTGACATAGTGTTGTGGTTTAAACCCAGCCAGGCAGTTCATTCACTCACTCCCAGTGAGTGGTGCTGGGCTGGAAGCAGTCGAGGCCCGTGTTTCCCCCCTCTGGGAGCTCTCCCCTTCCCCGCTCCCGGAGGGATGGGGAGGAGAATTGAAAGAATTCAACTCCCACGGGTTGAGATAAGAACAGTCCAGCAACCAGTGTACAACACAAATTGCCACCACTACCACCAACGACAACAATAAGAGAAAATAACAAGGAAACAGAATATGATGCTACCCACCGAAAAATGAGTCCGACCCAGAAGACCCTGTGTCCTTCCAGGTAACTCACAGTTATCCCCCCACCCTGGGCACTTCATACTGTGGTATGGAATACCTCTTTGGTCAGTTTGGGTCAGGTGTCCTGTCTCTGCTTCCTCCCAGCTTCCCCTCCTCCCTGGCAGAGCATGAGACTCATGGAGTCCTTGGTCAGGGTAAACATTACTTAGCAACAACTAAAAACATTGGTGTTACCAGCACTGTTCCCAGGCTGAAAGTCAAAACACAATGCTGCACCAGCTACTAAGAAGGAGAAAAATTGACTGCTACTGCTAAACCCAGGACACATAGTCATCGTTCATAGCCCTTCCACTCCTGTCCAGTAACAGGGAATGGCCTTTTCTGCATTTCCTAAAAATCAGCAGATTTGAGAGATTTTCTGATCACATGAGGAGTTGCTCTTTCATGAATGTTTAAAGTACAGGACATGTGTTTTAATGAACAGGCAGTGTGTTGTGCTAAGACATATTACTTTAAGCTGGAGTGTGTAAATTTCACAACGCAAAATACTTTAAATGCTGTGTACTAAAATTAATGTAACTTTTAATATATATAGTATGTAATGTGTATCAGGTGCTGACTATATATGTCATTGTAAAAGAAAAAATATTCTGCATTATACATTAATTGAGTTTATTAGAAAAAGAGAAAAAAATCATAATTTGTAATCAGCTTGGTCATTCCAACTGACTTCATTATTATAACAGCTGCAAATGCTGGGTTTTGAAGTGGAGAGTCTGAATTAGACATACACTGTGTAACGGATACTATAATAATAATATAGCAGCTTCAAGTAGGAGCCAAAGGATTTGACAGAGATGTATGCAGTTCAGATGTATGTATAAACTGTATTCCTGAAATCAGTTATAAAGCTCAAAATGTTCTGCATAGCTGTAAGAACTGCAGCATGGGATACTTCTGTTATCTGCATTAATTACACTTCGGCTGTGTCTGGACATAAAGGAGAATCTTTTTTTAAAACCTTATCTTCCCACAGCTTGCTTGACTACAGCTAATTGCCATTTTAAAAAAAATACAATGTATATTTGCCAAAATACAGGTTTGAGGATTCCAAAAACCATTTAAGAATTTGGAGTTATTTTGCAAAATTTGCAGGATTAGGAATAGAGATGGCTGGGGAGATGCTTTTCTGATCCTTGGAAATTTTATGGCAATCACTTTGCCAAGGAATGCGCTAGACAAGGATCTTCTGATATATTATTTCCCCCCTCCACCTCCCCTTTGAAGACTGCATTTAATTTAGTAGGAGCATTAGTTAAGCCAATTCTTTGTTTTCAACTCCTACGCTCTTCTTGTCCTTCACTTACATTTTCATGAAAAAAAACACACCAAAAAACCTGAACCTCTGGGGTTTACATTCTTTTAAAATCTTAAAAATGCCCATCTGGCGATCTAGATTGCCTTGATGTCCTCTTTATGTTGTTGGGCTTTTTTGATCATGTGGTTGGCATGGAATTTTGAACCTGCTAGTAACTGTAGTATCTGACATTTAATGACAGTCTGTTTTGTGTGATTTAACAGATGAACATTGAAATGTCATGCTCCTTTTATAGACAGTTAAGTGCATGAGCCATTTTAAAGTATGAATGTGTTAACACTGCAGTTCCTGATACTGTAATAGTAGGTTTTCCTTCCTTATTAGTTCTGCCTACAATAGAAGCTGGGTTCTCAAGTATGCAACTAGTAACAGCACCTGGCTACCACATCACTATTTTCTTTTACAACAGACAATAGTTACGGTAATAAAGTTAAAATGCTTTTAAAAATAATTATGATACATATAGTGCAGCAATATCTTAATGGATTAACACTGATCACATTGCAAATACGTGAAAATATGATCATTTTAAATGCAGAATATCACATCTTCAAAGAGGAGGAGGACTAAATAGGGGAGAAAGTGGTCTGAAGTTAAAGAAGAAAAGATAAGGAGAGCATTGTTCTTCAAGAAAGCAGAAATAGTTCAAAATAGTGACAGGAAACACAAGCTAAGTGTTAAATGACAAAATACCATTTTGTATGGAATAAAAAATTAAAAAATCACACATGATCAATATAAAAGCAGTGGGATGTATGTGCTTCCAAAATATATAAGCTGATTTGCTTTTAGCTAGCCAGAGAAAAGACATTGGAAGTGCAGCTTCTTAAGACAGCAGCAAACAGTGCTTGAATATATAGAAAGGTAAGAGCATGCAGGACATGAATTAGATGCATATTCTGTGAAGGCCTCTCTGGATTGCTAAAAATGAACATGGTTGTCCTTGCTAAAGTAGTTGCTGTAGCTGTTGTACCTCTGTTGTACCTCTATGAAGCATCCTCAGGTTGAAGCACAAACTATCCGTTTTACAGTCACAAAACTGGAAGCAGCCTTTACATACACTTCAAAGCATATCTGAAGTGCTTCAAAAGGTAAGCATTTCAGATGCAGTGTAATAACTGCAGGGTTTACAATATGATAGGATAGACTGTAGGGCTAATTCTGAATTTCCCCTTCTGTGACTGCAGTTACATCAATTAATAATATCCTTTTGGTAGATGAACAACAGGAGGTGTTTGACTTGGAGGATCAGACATCTTTTGCTTGAAATATTTTTTCAAATCAGTTCTCTTCCATGTTATCCCTTTGAGAAGTACAGAGTGAATAAAGGGAAAAAAAAGTCAAATGTGCTGGTGGGCTTTGGCAGCACCATGTCATCCAGGAAGGGCAAACTGGGTGACACAGTTGGAGCTACTGGCTCATCTTGGATTTGCCTGTAGGAATATTCAAATTTTACTTGGAAAATCTCAGACCATTCAATAACTATTGCCAGGAAGTTTATTCTGTTTCTCAGTATTACTCTTCTGATGGCAGTAGCTGGTGGGGTTATTAATTATTGATATGCTTTCAAAATTCTAGCCTGGGGTTTAAATCTGAAATTAAGCTGGTTTGATTTGGGATTTATCTTTCAAAACTAAAAGGCATGCTTCAGCTACTGCTGTACTGTGAGAAAAGGCTTGGGCTTTGCAGTACAGGTTGCTTTGCAAGGAGATTTATTTTATTTGCAAGACATTTGCTTCATGAAAGCACCTATTACTGATTTCATAGCATGCAATCAACATTCTCTAAGTGAACTGTATGCTAAGATAATGGTGAACCGAACATTATGGCAGCTGTCCCTGGAGATGATGTTCTCATAGCATTTCTATTCAGACCCCTTGTTTCCAATGGCTTATAACTTTACAGTACTTTTACCTGATAGACTGAAATTTTCTTGACTCAAAGGTAACTTTTCTCTTGAAAATTCAGCCATTATTGTGCTTCTTCTAAAGTAAAGAGAGAAATGTCCTAAAGTTAGGCTCAAATTCAGATGTTTTTAGAAAGAGTTTAACCCTCAAAAAGTCACTTTCCTTTTTGTTAACTTAAGTTTTGTTTCATTGCAGGAGGGGTTCAAAATGGGATTAACTCTTGAAGGCACAGTGTTTTGTCTTGACCCACTAGACAGCAGGTGCTGATGCCGAGAAACTATATATGAAAATCCTACACAGTGTTGTTTGGTTGTTTTTTTTTAATCCTGAACGTGTATTCATAGATATTATCCATGTGCCAAAAATTGATTTTTTCAACATGTAAACTCTTGTGAGATTTGCTTCTGTAAAAATCTAACTTAGTTCTAGTCTTGCCCTGTACAAATGTAGAAAGTTATATTTGTTTATGAAATATGAATTAAATTACACTGTTACGTTTCTTTCTCTCACATTTTGCCCCAGATTAGTATGTTTTATGACTATTAGCTTGGAGAAGTTCTTCAGAAAGCTCGCACATACCTCTCTCTATTTGCAGACCTGCAAGCATGATTTACATGTAATACTTTACCTGGCAGCATTTTGAAATTATGCTTTTAAGCCATTATTTAATATTCAAGCAGTAAAATGTTTAATACTTAATACAAAACGTTCAAATTGCAGTGGAAAGGCAGAAAGTACTAACCATTGATATATGCTTGAAAGGTAAATCTAGATGCTGTGTAACTGATCTCCTTTACTGTGTATCATTACTATGCTGTATATATGTCATTACTAGTTTACAAAATCCAGAAGACTTTTAGGTCCTTAATTCATGTTTTGTAAACTAACAAATTGTTAGTGTGCTTGTCAGTGTTTAATGAGCATAGAACTGCTAATTACAGACTGAACAAAGTAACTGCCCTTTCTTTTAATATTTCATAGCTGAACTGTAAAGTATGTAATACGGAATTCATTATATGATAGCCGTAACTTAGAAAGAAGATTATGGTCTTGCATTTACTTAGGAGTTTATGTAATTTTGTATATAAGCAGGCATTCCACTTACTGGGCTCAGTCCTGTAAGTTACTTTCAGCACCTGAGTGTTTACAGTCAGGCTCTGTTGACTTTTTTTCACTGTCTGCTTTAATGCTATCTGTCTTACTATAATTTTAAAGCTTCCTGTAAGAATTCTATATAAGTTCATAAGTCTTTCATACCCACTGGCTGTTAGAGAAGTAACTGCAGTCTTCAGCTGCTAGCAACTTGCGCTGACCTGTCTATGCATACTCTTCGTTAATCTTCAGCAGAAGCAATAAAATACCATCTTAAACCTATCACAGAAAATTATCATTAGTGTTTTGATGCCCAAACTGCACATCAATTCA